TACACTTTATAACGTCAGTCGAGTGTTTGAAATAAATCTTTCTGTGAGATGATTTGGCTTCTTACAGAGAATAAGGCACGCAACATATTTCATAGTATTCTAAGCAGTGATAGAGGCTGTGTCGATTAGCATTGCATTATTATATACTTTATTATAATAAACATTATAATAAAAATTATAATGAGAACTCAGATAAACCATATATTGTCTTAGTCGTCTGTTTATTAGTCACGTTGAATCAATGAAAGCAGTTAAATCTTCTGTTTATTCAGCTAGCGTTATAGGGATTGGGTTTCTTCTACGGGGTGTATTTGGAGTTTCTCTGGCCCTCGGATGGAGATTTACTGCTGATCACAGAACCGTGCTACACTGACAAGATGCGCATGACAATCACAGCTTCTGCCTAATCACGATTGCGATTTATCGTGCAGCCCGAGTGTATGTCCCGAGTGCTTACACAGATGGCGTTGATGTCGGACTCGTGGCCGGTGAAAGTTTGCCTGCACATGCCCTCTCTGACGTCCCACAGCTTAGCAGAGGCGTCACAGGCGCCCGACACGAACAGACGAGTATCTGGGGCCAGAGACAGTGACATTACATCACCTGTGTGACCTGCGAATGTGGTGGTCTGCTGCCCCGTCTCGATATCCCAAAGAGCACTGTAAGACAGACAAACAAAACACACTCAAAGTTACACTGTTCCAGTTATTATTATTGTGAACAAAAATTGTCAATTTTGTGAATTTAGATGGAAAGGAAGCATGTAATGTGAACGAGCCACTCTGAAAACACGGTATTATAAGCTGAGCGCGTGTAAATGAACACAGTACTGCTCTTCACTCTGAAATACACTTTACATTTGATTATCACACTAAACCATATTGCATTTTCAGGTATTGTTAGAATTAATAGAAGTTACTTAGAGTAACGCGGTTTCATACATACACTAACGCTGATTTTAACTTGAATTTGGCACTTGCCGAGTGTTAATTCTACATCCTGCATCTACACCGATGTTCAAACGTTTGGGACAGTACGATTTATGTTTTTTAAAGAAGTTTCTTATGAAACTATTTTATCAATAATACAGAAAAAAAACTGTGATTTTGTGAAATATTATTGCAATTTAAAATAACAATTTTCTATTTCAATATATTTTAAAACATAATTTATTCCTGTGAAGCAAAGCTGAATTTTCAGCATCATTACTCCAGTCTTCAGTGTCACATGATCCTTCAGAAATCATTCTAATATGCTGATTTATGATCAGTGTTGAAACTGTTGTGCTGCTTAATATTTTTTGGGACGTGTGATACTTTTTTTCAGGATTCTTTGATAAATAAAAAGTTAAAAAGAACAGTGTTTATTCAAAATAGAAATTTAGTGTTACAATATACACTCTACTATTCAAAAGTTTGGGGTCAGTGAATTTTTTCTTTTTTTTTTCAAGAAATTAATACTTTTATTCAGCAAGGATGTGTTAAATGGATAAAAAGTGACATATTGTTTGAAAAGATTTCTATTTTGAATAAATGCTGTTCTTTTTAACTTTTTATTCATCAAAGAATCACAGAAAAAAGTATCACAGGTTTCAAAAAAATATGAAGCAGCACAACAATCCATGTATCATTCGATCATTCGTTTTTTGATTTAATATTGAAAGTAGAAAAATGAGAAAACGGCTCCTTTATCGTTTTTTTTTTCTCCAAAAAACGAAAAACGAAAATTCAGCTTAAATTTTCGTTTTTCATTCATGGGTGGAAAAATGAATAAACAGCTTGAATATTCGATTTCTACACGTGGGAATTAAACGCCCCTTTCTGCTGATTGGTCAGCCGAAGATCAAACCGTGCCTTCATCAGTTCTTCTGCAGAATCACGCAGCAGAATAATAGTCCTCCACTGCTGCAGTTGTATG